TCCAATACAACACAACTTACTATTCCCCTTAGTAATTCATGCCTAAAATCAAACGTCATTCCTTCTACCTCACAACCTCAGTCATCAAAACCTATTCCTTCCATCTCCTAAATTGCTAATGAAAGTCTTCTGTCCTGACCCTCAGGTATAATTCATGTTCTCATCATTTCTTTCCAGAAGATTCTTTACTGGTCTCCCTAACTTCAGTTTCATTCTTTTAATAAATGCTCCACTGCCAGAATGTGCTCACTGAAATACAAATCTGGTCCATGCTACCTGTTACAATTTTTTAATGGCTCTTTCCCACTTTCAAAATAAAGCCCCATTTTTTAGAATGGCATATAAATCCCCTGAAACCTGGCTCCTGTACATCTCCACATTCTCTCATTGCTCCTCCCAAACTTAAGCCAACAAAGCCACTTGAGTTCCCAGCAGAGCCAGGCTCTCTCTTACTTATGTATTCTGCAAGTGTGGCTCCCTCCCATTTCCCACAACTTCATATCTTCTACCTATCACCCCCTTCCTTGACAACTCAATTCCAGGCAGTTCCTCTGGGAAACCTTCTGGCACAAACTGACGGATTCATCGATCCCCTCTCGTCCAAATTCCTAGAGAATCCAGGAAATAGAACCTATACCGTGTTATATGTGTTACACCTCTCTATCCCCATGACCAAATCATCACATCACCTACCTGACAGCAGGGATTGTCTTTAATTTGTACACCACTAGCATTAAACACAGAGGTGGCTTATAACAGCTCATTAAATATTTGCTGGCTCCATGAAAAAATGTACCACGACCCAGTTTATTTAAAAATAAAAATCAAATCAGCAGCTTAATTCTTGAGACTCATAAAATGTATCACAGATATATTCTAAGTCAACCAAACCAAATCAATGCCATAAAGCAGTATTTTAGGCTAACAATGTTCTTAAGAAATTTACTGATTTACTTACAAATTCACTGTAATAATTGGTACCACCTCAGTTAGTACGTGAGATCCAGTAACCCCATCTTATTTTCACTACTGTTCCTGCTGGAGGTGTCAAGGTCTCAACTATAGTAACTGCTCATGTTCAACACACTCAGCAACTGACTCAACAACCACTGTTTTGATACATGACAAATCCTATCAAGAGCATCAGTGAAGAGGCAGTCAACACTGGCAAAACTCCAACATGGTTATACTTCACTTATCAGGAAGTCAGTTATCTGGTGACATCAAGTCTCCACAGAACCTAGTGAGAATTAAGCAGAGGACTGTTGGAGCTGTCAAAATACATGCTGCAGTCCATGTACTAAAGTATATACACTTACTTAGAAAAGAGACTGCAAGGTTTTTTTTAAAATGTTTTAATAAAGATTTTATATTTATTTAGTTTATAGAGAGGGGGAGGGAGGGAGAAAGAGAAACAGCAATGTGTGGTTACCTCTTGCCCACTCGCTACTGGGGACTTGACCTGCAACCCAGGCATGTGCCCTGACTGGGAATAAAACCCACAACCCTTTGATTCATAGGCCAGCACTCAATCCACTGAGCCACACTAGCCAGGGCTGCAAGGTTCTTATTCAAACACTAGTTGTTCTTATTTTAAGCACAATAAATTTGGTAACCAATTTCTAGGAGTCAGAAAATTAAAAGAAGAAATTAAGAGGTCTAAGCTAAAAACGCAAACACAGGATCAACAGCAGAAAAAGATGATGCCCAAAGGTAAAACGCAAAAACTACATAACTAAGGGGTTACGTGGTTCAGGAGCAATAATTCTATATATTTGAACTATGATACAATGCAGAAATTAATGTTTATAATTATGACCTTGGTCATCAAAAACAAAGACAAAACAAAACCCAAATACATTAGGCTCAACAAGGTTCAAAGACAGTAGATGACATATTTTACAAAAAGAATCAATCAAATAATTAAAAGTTAAGTATTACATCTATAAAGAGTCAACTTTCTATTGTAGAATAAACTGTTCTGAAATATAGCATTCCCAAGTAGCAGCAGGGACATCAACTCCAAGCTACTAGTCATTGTCAGACATTAACCAGTCCTAGTAACCACTGGTATTACTATAATTAGAATACATCCATTCTGAAACAAAACCTGGAACTGCTGATCATTTGCTTATTGGTGATAATGCTATCCAAACACACTATGGACACCATACCAAGGGCCATGGTGTACCATAACCATAGACACCAAACTAAGAACATTATAATAGGCAAACTACCACTCTTTAACAGACCTCCATAGAGCTTCACTACCACACGCCTTCAGGGTCCCTGCTGTAAAACTAATTAATATGTGAGGCTATTTTAGGAGGTTTTTATGACACACTAATAACTATATTTTAGGATTTAGAGAACAGCATTTCAGAGTGAAACAAACGGGCACTTACTACACACAGCTTTGGGTCTGAGTCCCTGCTTTGGTAATCTCCAGTTTTGTTACTGGAACACTATGCTGAGAGATTCATTTTCTTCATTTGGTAAATGGGGATAATAGCATTTACTTTCTATGCTTCTTATGAGAAATAAAGTAGACAATATACATAAAGTACAATCTAGCTATTACAATTATCAGATGGGATATGAAAAGAGATCTTAATGCAGACTAGGGCAAATTTGGGGAAATTGTGTGCTGTATTAATGACAAAAAAACATGACTAAAGAAAAGGGCAGACAGCTTCACATGATGAGCAAGGTGCTTTATATTTTTAAGTCATAGTAGAAGCACTCTGATTTATAGGTCAGTTCATGGAAAAGTAGGTAAAAAAGTATACACATATTCTGTAAATATATTAACTTAGTAATTAATACAAATGTTCTGATATAGGGCCTGGCCTTTTGTTTAAAAACAAAATTTCTCCTTTGTGCAGTCTAATTATTTTTTGTAAGAACAAAAACCTTTTCTGTACTCATATTTTATTAGTTTATACAATAATAAAATAAATTATTTAACAAAAATATAAATAGATCTTGGAACAAACACAACTAGCTTTTGCTAAATATATACCTCAACTGGGAGAAGCAAAAATGTCCAGGTCTAGTAGAGGACAACTACTTTTTAACTGTCCATATAGAGCTTGTATCAGTCAGTGGGTTTTATAGAAGAGAACAGAATGCCAATTAATTTAATAAGTCAACTGATTCAATGATAATTACCAGAAATTAGTTCGAGAGTCCTTCTGATCTGTTACAATCTTATTTCTGATTTCAAGTCATAAGGTGATATGAAAGAAAAACAATATAATGGTTACAACTTTTGAGGTTGGGCTGTAAGAATTAGGCCCCATTCACACTTCTAAAATCTCTAAATTTACTTGTTTCTATTTTGCAATTCACTCTAACTAGATCACAATACCACTGACCATGCTTAAACACTACATTCTAAATGTTACTATTAATATAGTGTGTTTTTAGAACTAATTTTTCTTTTAAAAAATGTTTTTCAAACATTTTTACTTTTTTGTAGTAGAAATATTCACCATTCCCCCATACACTTTAAATAATGCACACAGAGTTGCTCTGAAATTAGAGCCTAACTTCCCCTCTGCCCTCATGGCAATCTTGGAAGCTTCTATGCATAGCTCTAGAGCTTCTTGGGGCAAAGGTTGAAAATTGTTTCTTTAAACTACAATCAAAAACTAATATCAAACAAAAAAGTTACAGAACTTATTAACAGGGTATTACTTTACTAATTAGGATATTCAGTTAACGAAAAATCAGTTACTCTGAGTTTGAAATGATATTGAATTTATTGAAAGCAACAATAAAACAAGTAAAACAATTGCTAAGCTGGTTATTTTATTAAACTTGAGTTATTTTTCATTGCATTTAATTAGTCCATAAGTTGTCCTAAAACAGAATAAATTCAAGTATGCACAAGTCTAAATAAAGAGAAAAATAGTTCCCAAAAGGGATTAAAAAAAGATTAGGCTGATGAATAATAAACACAGTATATAAATACATCATATATATATAAGTATTTATATGTTTATATATCTTTATATACATTTTTATATATATTTATATACTTATATACTTATATTTATATATAAAGTACATCTTATTTAGAGTCACTTAAATAAATGTCTCAAAGCAGGAATCTGCCATTACTGAGACTTAGTCTCCCAGAGTCTGCTCAGTTAGAGGTGTGACATCATGAAGGTAGAAAGCAAACATGGATCCAGCCTAATAAGCTGCTCTATCTGGTCAGTCATATTCTCTATGTATGAAAAGGGGAAAACCAGAGACCCATCTGGATCTCATGACTTTCCCATTTAGTGTTATCATCCTTCTACAACTGATAAACACAATAGGTAAAGTTTGTATAAAATATTTCCCACCCACAAATTTTGTTTTGGAGACAGGTAGAAAGGCAAAGTAACTAAAAGAGAAATTAAGAGTATTGTAGAAAGTACCAAATTTGAAACATAATTTCAAAGCTGAGTGACAGGTAGGTATGAGAGATCCAGAAGGGTTCTGAAAAGAACCTAAGCATTTCTACACACAGCAATCAAGAGATTTAACAAATATTGTGAAGACTATTGCCCTGCTTTCTATGATAAATTAAAAATTGGACAAGAAATTGCTAAGTTGGAAAATTTTTCTCAGAAAAAAACTATCTGTGAACATATAGGTAGAAGGGAAGGAAGTTAACTGACCTTTCAGGATCAATCCTGGCTGGAGCAAACTACTCCCTTCAGCACACCTTAGTAATAACTATTAGACTACAGAACCAGAGAGCAATAGGGTGTAAGCTTTAACTGTTTATTATTTGGGGAAAAAATGATGAACATTCAAATCTTCCCCAAAACTCTTCTCACTGCTTTGAGAAAACATAAATATGGCCTAACAACTAATTAGCATTATAAAGAAATATAAGCTTATTTTCTGTGTTTTCAAAAAACACCAATTAAAGTCCAATAATACCTTTGAGGTATCTCAACTTTCGTGAACACTCTTAAAGCACCTGGAAAGATTCTACTTACTCTCCATCCACTTCTGGTCTTTTGCACACACAATGAAACTTGCTGCCAAAATCTATATAAAGATCCTTCTCCACAATATGAATGATTCGTCCAATGACTACTTTATCCTTGGCAGGTCCCATCTGAGTGAGAGGAGAATGTCTTAGCATAGATGCAAAGGATTCCACATTTTTCAGAGAGCCCTAAATATGAAAAGAGACATTTATATGCACATAATTCAATATAAATATATAATACAATGGGTATAATAAAGTCTTACAGGAAAAAAATTTTAAAAGTCAATTTGCTGTATATTTGCATTTTGTAGCAATAATAAAAATAATAACCGAATTTCACTTTTAAAAAGCCAGGTAGGTTCTTCAACTTCCTTTTTCTCCCTTTCTTTTGTGAAGAGGAGCCAGAGAAAAGCAGGCATTTGCACTTAGTATGAGATAGCATGAATGGGGTGGCCCAGAATGGAATCTGGAATGTGAGCAGGGTTAGGACTGGTCTGCAACAAAGCCTCCCCAGGTAGGGAAAGAGGGGAAGTCTGAGCACATGAGGAAGGGACCCAAGAAAACAATGGATTTTATTCCTAGTACTGACCATCTGCAAAAAAAGATGCCCCAAATTCAGGTTTAGTGAGAGTAACTATTCTTTTCATATGTTAACACACTAAGATAAAAAATGTCCTTCAATGAGCAGGCTGAATACAAATTCGTTACGCAATATTTTAAATGGCTTCACCTTTGTTATAATTTTCTTCAAAGGAAAAATAGCTTGTTTAATTACTTTATGCTGCTTATTTCTGGGAGTCATTTTACATATTGAATTTACTTGAGGTATGACTGAAAGAATAATGCAGGCTCTTTACTTTTTAAAAAACTTATAACATTTTTTCCATGATTTTCCATGATTACAGATTTGTGTCTTTGATTCATCTTTAATCCGTGTAGAGTGTGATATGTGTGTTACCTTGGCTCAAACTGAGGAAAGTCCTGCGTTTTATTTGAAAGAGTTCATTACAGAATGTTAACAATTTGATCCGACTACATACATCCTGTATTTGGGATGAGTTTTACATTTGTTTTTCAAAAGAGAATTAATAAGAGTTCGACAGTATACTTACTTTAAAAACTCAAAACTATATTTGACTAAACGTTAATGCATGCAGTACTCCCACAATGGCAAACTTGAATACATGCCAGGTGGGGCTTGGTAAGCATAAGAGCTTGTGTCAGTCTAAAATAAAGCCACTACTCATCTCCAGCTGCAACTAGTTCAATGTTGCCACATCTTTTGATTTTTCCAAGAAAAGCTGGAAATCCATATAGTAATGTAAAGTTTCTAATTTTTCAATGTTTAAATACTAAAAAGGTTTTCATTTTATAAATCTGTCAAAACACATTGTGGCCCATGGACCAAAAAGTTTATGATCTTTGCCTAAAAAAAAAGTCAAAATGTGTTCGGCTGATGCGGAGTCCCTTAGATGCTGGAGCAGGTGCGGTGATGGATTTATTTCAGTGGGTTGAAACACAATTGGAAGGAATCTTCAGTACATAAAGGTCAATCCAAACCAAAGACAAGTCAGTAGACCTAGATGCCAAGTAGAGCTAAGGGTAGCCAGGAATATTACACTTAGAGCCATTAATACTAGTTTTTAACTCCACACAGTATAATATTAACTGTCCTTAAGCATCTTGAAAAAAATAGTTCTTTATTGAAGAGAGCCAAGGATGAAACACATTCTACAGGCACTACACAGACATAACTAAGAACTGTTCTCTACAGGTACTGCAAAGGAAGTCATCAGTGACCAAGAACAGCTACTGTGATCTGCTGGGAGCCCTAAGTTATCTACAGCAGCTGCCACCCGAGTAGCAGAGAAGAGTACCGCTCAAGGAAAGAGCAGAGAGCTTATCAACTTGAAGGTCTCATCCTGTTCACAATCAGACAGGTTCTTTCCACTTTGCCCTATGACCTGCTTTCACACTGCCCCTCCCCTTGTGGCTGATAGTTCATCCCTCTGCTCCTCCTTCTTTCTCTTCCCTTCCCCTCTCTTCCTCCATGGTTTTTCTTTGAAAGACTTCCAATTGAAGCCGCCATGGTCTAAAGAAAACAGCTTTAGATAACAGGAAGATCCAGCACTAAATCTAATAATTAAACATTTATTGACAATAACTCAGCCATTACTAGGGCCTGTTCCTAAAATAACATAATCTCCTTTATAACTCTGAAGAGATATTTGGGCTTAGTATGATAGTGCATGGTATTTCCCTTTAAGTTTTAGAAAACAATTGAGTGTTCTCAAATAATATTTAAAAAGATATCTTGAGATTTTTAGTAAATCTGTTGTGAATACATATTACATCATAAACTTCACAAAATTATGAATAATTATTTTTATTGAGGCATAATAGACATATTATATTAGTTTTAGGTGTGCAACATGATTCAATTGTACACACTGAGAAGTGATTACCACAATAAGTCTAGTTAACATGCATCACATTCAGTTACTAATTTTTTTCTTGTGATGAGAACTTTTAAGATGTATTCTTAGTAATTTTCAAATAAGCAACACAATTTTAACTATAAGTCAACATGCTATAAATTATATCCCATGATTTACTTAACTGACAGTTTATACCTTTTGACCCCTTCACCCATTTGCTCACCCTCCCTCATCCCCAACCTATGGCAAACACCAATCTGTTCTCTGTCATTGATGAGCCTGGAGTTTTTTGTTGTTTAATTTGGGGGTTTAGTTTGTTTGTTTGTTTAAATTTCACACACAAGTGAGATAATAGGTTATTTGTTTTTCTCTGACTTATTTCACTCAGCACAATGCCCTCTAGGTCCATCCTAGAGTATGTTTTCACAAACTGTAAGATTTCCTTCTTTTTAATGGTCAAATAATTGATGGATACTTGGCTATTGTAAGTAATGCTGCAATGAACATGGGGTGCACATACCATTACAAGTTAGTGTTCCCATTTTCTTTGGAGAAATACACATAAGTGAAATTGCTGGGTCACATGGTAGATCTATTTTGAATTTTTTGAAGAACCTCCATACTGTTTTCCGTAGTGGCTGTAACCATTTGCAATCCCACTAACAGTGCACAAAGGTTCCCTCTTCTCCACAGCCTCATCAACACTTGTTATTTCTAGTCTTTTTGATAATGGCCATTCTAACGGGTGTGAGGTGTTATCTTACTGTAACTTTGATATGCACTTTCCTGATAATTAGTGATGTTGAGCATCTTTGTATGTACTTGTTGGCCATCCACATGTCTTCTTTGGGAAAATGTCCAGACTTTTCTGTCCATTTTTAAATCAGGTTGTGTTTTGTTTTGTTTGCTGTTGAGTTGCATGAGTTCTTCATATATTTTAGACACTGACCCCTTATCAAGTATATGATTTGCAAATACTTTCTGCCATTCAATAGGCAATATAATAAATTGCCTTTTTATTATGTTGATGGTTTCCTTTGCCACAAGAAGCTTTCAAATTTGATGTAGTCCCACTTGCGTATTTTTTGCTTTTGTTACTTTAGCTTTTGGTCTGAGATTTAAAAAATCATCGCTAATACTGATGCCAAGGAACTTACCACCTATTTTCTTCTAGGATTTTTATGGTGTTAGGTCTTATGCTCAAGTCTTTAATCCAGTTTGAGGTAATTTTTGTTTATGGTGTAAGATAGTGGTCCAGTTTCATTCTTTTCATGTGGCTGTCTAGTTTTCCAAACATCATTTATTAAAGATACTATCCTTTCTGCATTATACATTCTTGGCTCCTTCGTCATAAATTAATTTACATTGTTTTGTGGGTTTAGTGCTGAGCTCTCTATTCTGGTGACCCCTGGATTAACACCTAAATTTGCTTTTCAATTGTAGACTCACTGTACCTTTTGGAAACTATATCAAAAACTCAGACAAAGCCCTCCTTTGAAAAAATCGCAGTGTAGAAACATCTCTGAATTCCTCATTTACTTGTCAAACAGCTTCTAAAAATAATAAATGTAGCATAGCAACGCCTTCAATCCATGCTAACAACCAACATCGTTAGCTCCTCTCCTCATTATGTGGACACAGAGACTATAGACACACTGTCACCTGTAGGGTGTATTATGGAGCTAACTTCTAACATTGGTTATGAAAAATGTTGCTATAGAGCTCATTTATGGAGCTATCATAGTATCTTAAAGCAGGTGTCTTAGAGTTGACTGCTTTCTTTAAGAATTGATCATAGGACTTCCAGCCAAGACAGAGGTGTAGGCAAACATGGCTCACCTCCTCACACAACCACATCAAAATTACAACTAAACTATAGAACAGCCATCACTCAGTAACTGTCAGAAACCGAGCTGAATGGAAGTCTGACAACTACAGAACTAAAGAAACCATATCCATCCAGGCAGGAGATGTAGAGACATGGAATGGGCTGGTCCCACACCCACGTGTAGTGGATAAAAAATTGGGAGGAATATCTGAGGAGTGAGGAGTCCCAGCCCCACACCAGCACCCCGGGCCCAGGGCTCCAGTGCCTGGAAGATAAGCCCCCATAACTTCTGGCTGTAAAAACCAGCAAGGTTGGAGTCAATGAAAGTTAACTACTGAAATCCCAAGTACTTCCTCTTAAAGGGGCCACACACGAACTTAACTCAGACTCCCTCTGGGCTCTAGCACCAGGGTGGCTACTTTAGAGGCACCAGTGGCATATGGGGAGGAAGTGAATAGTCTGGCATCAGAGCAAGAGCTGAGAGACAGCTTTCTCCCAGACAGAGAGGCTGGCAGAGCCATTGTTCCATTTCTGAGCCCTCCTCCCAACAGAGCCACAGAGCCACAAAGATAGCAGGCCAGTGCGATATCTGAGACTCCATTACTTGGCTAACACTGTTTACTCCACACTAGGAATCCCTCAGGATCCACCCCACCCAGCTTATGGACCACCCAACCTGTCAACAGCTTTTCCATATGAATGGCTGGTCTCAGCTGAGGCTTCAAATCTCCCTAAACCTCTCAAACAAGCAACAGCCAGCCTCAGTGAGCCCCCAGCTCCATACCTCTGACTAAGTGGTCCCAGGCCCAGCATAAGTAGCAGCCAGGTTGGATCAGTTTGGCTTTGCCTAGAAGCCTCCAAGCCTCATACAAGTAGTAGCCATCTTCAGATTGTTAGGTAGCTCATGCTGGGTGGCCCTG